TCACACGTACTACTCATTAAATAAATGTATCAGTATTGTCTGCAATATCCCTACCAACTCCAATGTAATCCATTGCAACACATATAACAAGTAAATCAAAATATTGGTAGTGGCATTTTATTTATTTGTTCACCAGATATTGACGAATGTTCTAGTAATCCTTGTCATAACGACGCTGAGTGTGTCAACGAGTTAAACCGGTATAGATGTATCTGTGATACATTTTATAGTGGCACAAATTGTGAATTAGGTATGTGGATATCCCAAGTGTGCGATTATAAACTGCATACATTGCTCGGGACCACTGCTGCGGTTTTAATGTAATGTAATGTAATGTAATGTAATGTAATGTAATGTAATGTAATGTAATGTAATGTGAATCGCTTGGTGTTCAAAAATAACATTGGCTTGCTGCAATGCCGCTTCAATGCACTGATTTAAACAAAGATTCTTTGTTTATGCTATGGTAGATGGTAACAATGATAATGATTTTACTCCTAGACAATAGGCCTTGCAGGTTGAATCCATGTTTAAATGGCGGCACGTGTAATGACTATATTGATTATTACACGTGTGACTGTTATCCTGGTTGGACAGGCTATGACTGTGAAGCAGGTATGCTATAACCTATCCTATGTTTCATATGTTGTCTTATTAAATATACGTACGAAAGGTTCATAAACTGAGTTATCCATATTTTATTATGAGCACAGTCATATGGTGGCTAATATTGTTTTTTTAAGATTGCTTATTATTCATTCATCGTCCTCCGAAAACTGCTCAAAAGAAATTTGAGCAGTTCTAGAAATTCTAGAAATTTAAATTAATTGTTTCATATAAATTCGTTGTTTGACTCACGCTATACACATATATACTTCGGATAGTAGAATATAAACGTTGTACAAGTATCATCAGTCACGTATTTAGAGGGGCGACTACTCTAAACCCACGATTACTCATACCCACAATACAATGCGACAATTACGTTATTGTAAAAATGCGCACCTCTAACTGAACATCGTGCATTCGTCTCTGGTTTTCTACGCTGCCATAGAAACAAACAAACGGAAAGTATTTTTACATATAACAATTTTATTTCCATTTCATGTGTGTGGACCTTAATAAGCTAACATATTGTTCTAATTCACAGACGTCGATGAGTGTGTAAGTAATCCATGCCAGAATGGCGGTACTTGTGAAAATATGATAAACCAATATGTGTGCGGTTGTACTTCTGGATTCTCGGGAAACAGCTGTGAGATTGGTAGGTGTAGATTGGAATTACCTTTGGCAGTTTTCAGCTTATGTGTTTGTGACGGCTTTGTATTCTGTTGCAGAGATGTCTACGCCGGTGGTCACAAATCACCATTACCATTTCTTTACAACTTTAGGATTAACAAATCAGTAGAGAGCAAGACAAACATGACGTGCACATGCCACGAAAATAGCATGAAATCGGCCTTTAACTCTTAGAAAGTACAACACGCCATGTACCCGAGACTCGTGAAAACCATAAATTGACATTGATTATTCGCTCTGTATGTAAGTATTTGGAATGACTATTTTAGCGAAGTTGTACCATTGCCGGAAATAGACAATAGAATCTGGTCAAGTAGAGATTTCCTGTCTATCCCATTGCAGTGACTATAATTACATGCAAAATTATTCAAGACAACGGATGATGTCATAGACTTTTAAGGTCTATTGTTTAGCCTAATTGAGAGTATATTGTTATGTTAAGTAGTTCACAGCTTGGGGTTTGAAACAATAGTAAGTGAGGTAATCTATTGTTTTCTTTGTTCTGTGTTCACTTGTATTTGTCAGCTGATCATATGAAGCCATGTAATAAATGGTTATGGTTACCAGAGGACAATATACCCTTAGGTACACTCTTAAGATGGCATTGAAGACAGCCACCCGT